TGCTGCACGGGGGACGCTCGGTAGCACTGGGGGCTCCATATGGCCGAGCCCCCCCACCCAGGACAGCTGGAAAAGCAGCCGGGTTATTTATAAAATCAGCTCTCCACCAGCATGTGCTGGGGGCACTGGGATTTCTACCACCAGCGGGGCAGATCCTGCCCTCCCCGTCCTTCTCCCTGCTCTGGTCATAGGCAGCGAGAGGCAAACTCCCCCCAGCCCTGCTGCTGTGCCCGGTGCCCTCCCGCTGTCCCTGTCCCGTGCTGACGGCTGCGTGTCCCTATCCCCATCTCCTCCCCATCAACCCTCTCCTGGCAAAGGAACAGCACTGGGGGGAAATCCAGGACACAGCAGCACCCCGTCCCCATCCCCATCCCCATCCCCGTCCCCGTCCCCGTCCCCAACCCCGTCCCCATGGGCGCGCTCACCCGCCGGTAGACATCGTCCCGGCTGCCCTCGCCCTTCTGCTGCACGCGCTCCTCCAGGAAGTAGATGCGGAGTTTGAGGCTGAAATTCTCCTTTTTGAGGTCGTTGAGGTGCTGGGACAGCGTGCGGTACCCGTTAGCCATGGCCGGCGCTCCATGGGGGGCACATCCCGGCACCCCTCACATGGCGGCGCCGGGGCCACGGCCGCTCCCTGCCCGCCCGCAGCTCGGTGACGGGTGCCCCCGCCACGGCCCCTTTCCTTTTTTTTCCTCCTCCCGGTGCTATTTGAGGAACCCGGCGGGGACAGACAAGTGGTGAAACCCGAGCCCCGGGCGGCCCCCGGCCATCAGCCAGGAGGGCGGCGAGGGGGAGCGCGGCGCCCCACGGGGACAGGGACGGCACCGGGGGGGTCCCCGTCCCCTCCTGCTCATGCTGGGGCTGACACACGCATCCTACACGCACACCCAGGACCCCAGAGGTGGTCACCTTCTCGAAATCCCGCAGGGTCTGCGTCTGGGCGAGGGGACCCTCCTCTAGGTCCCGGAGGGGACACGTCTGTGCTGTGGGGCCGGGATGGGGCCACGCGCCCGGGGGGTGCAGGGTCCCCCCTGGTTCGGCCAAGGCGGGGTCCTCGTCGCAGTCACCCCACGGCCCCTCCGCCAGGGTGTCCCCATGGGGTGCAGCGTCCTCTCCTGCCATGCTGCTGGCCATGGGGACGTCACCGTGGCAGGGGTCCCTGCGGAGAGGAGCCCATGTCACACACACGGTTCCCCCACAAAAGGGGGAAATTTCACCCGGTTTTCACCTCTCCCCCTGCTGGATACGGTTTGCAGGTGGCTGCCGCGGCGCTTTTGGGGTGGCGGAGGTGATCTCGACACCCCAAATGTCACCCCAAAGCCTGCCAGTGCACATGCGAGGGCGCGTGAGTGTGCGTGTGTGCTCCTGCGTGCCGCCACCAGCCCCCGGGGGCCGCGCAGATGGCGGTGCCCAACTGCGAGCACTTCGGCCCCATTAGCAGCCCTGACCCCCCTCAGCGGGCAGCAGGGCCACCTGAGCCCCCAATAAAATCCCCCAAAGCCTCCCTGGGGTCAGGAGGAGGAGCTGGGGGGGCTGCACGGGGTGCCCCCCAGGAGGACCCCTGTGCGCCCCCGCCTTATCGCGGCTCACCCGCTGCTGGCGGCAGCCGCCATCAGGTTTATTTTCAGCAGGGAAGCGTGAGTCATTTCAGGGTTTAAAGAATAAAGAAAACAGATTGTTGTGTGTGTGTGTGGTTTTTTTTTTTCCTTAAAATAAAACAAAATCATTTTTCTGTATTTTCCTTTTCCTAATCCCCACGTTTTTGTAATGTGTGGCACAGCGGGTGCCCCAGGGCCGTGTCCCCAGAGCTGGGCACACCGCAGGCACCTCACGAGCAGGGCAGACAGCACCACAGCCTGGCAGCGAGCAGGGGAACAACCTGCCAGGAGGGGAAACTGGAGCACGATGGCTCCAGCGCATGGCCCTGCACCCTGACAGGCATCATACGCGAGGACGCACGGCACCCAGAGGCACCCAGAGGCACCCAGAGCCACCCAAAGGCACCCAAAGGCACCCAGAGGCACCCAAAACCAACCCGAGGCACCCAGAGCCGTGACATCCAAGCAGCTCGGTACCCAAAGGCACAACACCCGAGGAGGCCAAACACTCAGTGGCACACAATCCAAAGAGGCAAAATTCCCAGAAGCGTGACACCCCGAGACATGATGCCCAAGGACGCACGATATCCAAACACCACGGAGCTGTGATACCCGGGGGCACAGCGCCCATGCAGACACCCAACGAGGCGCGGAAGGAGCCCAGCAGCACGATGCCCACGGTGCTGAAACACCCAGGCAGGGGCGTGCCAGGCCCCTGTGGCTCCCACAGCCCAGCCAGCACGCCCAGTACCCAAACTGGGAGCCCCGTGCCGGGCTGCGGGGACAAGGCTGGGAATTCATCAGCAGCAAAGGGGAGGTCAGGGCGGTGCTGCGGGAGGACAAGAGCCCTTTCATGCCGGCTGTGCCACCCCTGGAGCACGGAGCAGAGCTGGGGTGCACATCCCTGGGGTGCAGACCCCTGGTGCAGACCCCTGGGGCCCCCCACCCTCGCAGCCAGCGTGCCCTGGGCCCCGCGGGCAGCCTGGCACGAGGGGTGCCACGCGGCCCTGACTCACGGCACCCGCTGACTCACAGCATCCCAGCGCCTGCACCGGCACCAGCACCCCGGGGTGCCACGGGGCGAGGGCCACGGCCACAGCGGGGTGCAGGAGGGAGGCTGCTGCCCCATGGCACAGCGTCCCCAAGGTGCCTGGCACCGCACAGAGCCAGGGACTCACCTCCTGCTGCTGCTGGAGCGGGAATTTGGGGGAGATGGGGAGAGCCCCGCAGCCTGCGCCCCAAATCACGGCCCCACTGCAGGGCCACCGCTGCTCCCAGCAGGGCCCACCTGCGCGGTGACCCCATCCTGGTGCCACCCCGGTGCCACCCAGCAGCTCGGCCCCGCCGTGTGGCACAGCACGCCCTGCCCAGCACCCACGGGTCCCCACGGCACGGTGCTGGATGAGGCCCCGTTCCCATCCCACGGCTCCCCCGGGGGGATGCGCAGGGGCCGGGCAGGGCGATGGGGGGGGTCCCGCAGCCCCCACGCGTGTCCCAGCCCCGCGGTCGCCCCCGGCCACCTCCCCACGGGTGCCCGCGGACCCCCCGCGCGCCCCCAGCCCCCGTGGCCTCACCTCCGCCGAGGGGCTCGCATCCTGCCCCCCGGCCTCCGCCGCACCGGGGGGCACCGGTGGGCACCGGGGGGCACCCGGGGGGCAGCGGGGGGCGCTCCGCAGGCTCTGCCGGGCGGCCCCAGCGTGCGCCGGGGAGGCGGCTCTGCGGCACCGGCCGGCTCCGCCCGCAGCTGCATCCCTCCTCCTCCTCCATCCCTCCTCCATCCTTCCTCCTCCTCCTCCTCCTCCTCCTCCTCCTCCAGAGCCTCCCCCCCCGGTACCCAGTGGGGTGCCACGTCCCCAGAACCCCCCCAGTTTCACCCCAGTTGTGTCCCAGCTGCCACCACAGCCGGTGTCACCCAGTGTCACCCGCTGGCGCTGCCAGCTTGGGGGTGCCCATCAGTGCGTGGGGCACAGGGGTAGGGTCCATATCTCTCCGTGGGGACGTGGGGACACGCCAGCTGGCACTGCCACCCATCCCGTGTCCCCTGTGTCCCTGCCAGGGGTGCCGGGGTGCCAGCGAGCCTCAGGGCCGTGCTTCGGGCTCTGCTCCCCAGGAGAGGGCACCAAGCAACCGGGAAAAGCCGGCAAAGGCTGCCACCACGGTGGCTTGGCCATGGGCACCAGCATGGGATGGGGTTTGTAGGGTGCTGGGCACGGCGAAGGAGCCCCCACCCGCTGCAGGGGGTGTCCCCCATCCATCCTCAGGGAGATGTATGGATGTGGGCGCCAGGAGCCACCAGACAGTGACACCAGGGAGGTGCCATCGCGGGGGCCTGGAGCGAGGTCTTAATGGTTAACAGCAGCCGGGGCTGTGCCAAGGCCCCTCTGCCATCCTGGGGGGCTCTGTCACCCCCACCACACGTCCTGCCCTCGGGTGCCCCCAGCCCGAGGCTGCCGTGCCCTGTCTGTGGGGCTGCCGCCCCTCCGAGGGGCTCTGCGGACCCCGCTGCGGGTTTTCTCCAGCCCCAGCCCTTGACCCCGTCCCTCGCCCTGTGCCAGCCGCCCTGGACTTTTCTCCCTGTGGCGTCACGGTTGTTCCCTGGCCGTGGCCGTGGTGGGCTGTGCGTGGTGCCGGGGTGTGCGCGGTGCCGGGGCGCACACAGCCCACAGCGAGCGGGTTTGGGGCTGGCTGCACCACAAGGTTTTGTCCCCAGGACAAAGGGGACCCCCTCCGCCCCTCTCCATCCCCGTGCCGGGTCCCCACGCTGTCCCCTATAGGGCTGGCGCTCTCCCCATGGGGTCACCGGCCGCAGCCCCGTGGCTCCTGCCCCACGGAGGGCGTTTGCTGGGCGGCTCCTGGGCACCCCACGTAATTGGGAGCTGGCGGCTGGGGCTGGCCCCGTGCCCCAGGCCCCTTATCGGGGCATTGCTCAACGGTGGGCGCGATGCCGGGGCGGGCAGGGGGCACGGCACCGCCTCATCTCTCAGCTGTCCCCCCCTGTGGGGCTGGGGACACCCCATTGCTGGGGGGCTGGGGGCACCATGCCCTGTAGGGCCGGGGATGGGGCTGCCAGCAGCACCCGCAGCTCTGGGGTTCAGCCATTTGGCACCCCACAGCCCCCCTCCTGCCTCTCCATGGCAGGGAAACTGAGGCACGACGGCGGTGCGAGGGGGGTGCAGGACCCAATGGGGTGCTCAGGACTTGGGGAGGCCCCACCACAGCCCCCTCCTGAGCTCCCCTCTCCACCATCCCCCCTGCCACAGGGTGGGGGGCTCCGGGAAGGGGGCCAAGACCCTGGGCTCGCAGCCACCCAGCGGGCGAGCGGGGTGGGAGAGGAGGGAAAAGAGGTGGGATTATGGAAATGGGATCCAATGAGGCAGCAGCGCAGCCCCACAAACGTGCCCCTCTGGCAGCATTTAGCCCGGCGGGCGGCCCGCAGCAGCCTCTTGGTCGGGAGCCCCACGGACGGACCCCGACAGCCCCAAAGTGTCCCCACCATGGCCTTGGCCAAGCTGCAGAAGGTGCTGATCAGTGACAGCCTGGACCCCTGCTGCAGGGACATCCTGCAGGCCGGTGGCATCCAGGTGCTGGAGAAACCCGGGCTGAGCAAGGAGGAGCTGCTGGTGGAGATCGCGGTGAGCGCCAAGGGGGTCCGGGCACAACGCGGGGCTTGGGACACCACCGACACCACCGACTGTCACCCCCGGCTTGGGTGGGTGGCAGCAGGGTGCCAGGCGGGCACCGCGGTGGCCTCGCGGCCCCGTGCCCCGGTGGGACGTGACGGGGACAACATGGGGACGCTGTGGGGTCGAGGAGGTCGAGGGCCCCCTCTCCAAGCGGGTCCCGTCCCCGCCTCCTCCCGTCTGATGCAAGAGCCCCGGCTGGTTTCACGCTGCCGATCCCAGCCCTGCGCCCCCGGCAGTGGCAATTCCCAGCCCGCCGCCCCCACGGGTGACGGGCCCCCGGGGAGCGCCAGCCGTCCCCGTAGCCCGTCCCGACGCACGGGATCCGTCCCCCCCTCCAGGACTGCGATGGGCTCATCGTGCGCTCGGCCACCAAAGTCACCGCCGAGGTCCTGGAGGCGGCCGAGAGGCTGCAGGTGGTGGGCAGAGCGGGCACCGGCGTTGACAACGTGGACGTGGAGGCGGCCACCAGGAAGGGCGTGCTGGTGATGAAGTAAGAACGGGGCCCAGAGCGGTGCCACCGAGCTGGGAGGGGTTTTAGGGTGCAGGGGGTGACCCCCGAGGTGAGGCCACGTCGGTGACACCGCTCTCTGTCCCCAGCACCCCCGCTGGGAACAGCCTCAGCGCCGCCGAGCTGACGTGCGGGATGATCCTGTGCTTGGCCAGGTGAGCGTGGGGCAGCTCGGGGGGGGTCACGTCCACCCTACAGCCCCCAGCCCCGTTCTGACCTCCCCCCCCTTGCAGGCAGATCCCGCAGGCGGCAGCCTCCATGAAGGAAGGCAAATGGGACCGAAAGAAGGTAGGAGGCGGGCACGGAGAGGGGTGGGGGACAAGGGGGGGGGGGCTGCAATGGCTCAGCCTTCCCCTCGCCCCCCAGTACATGGGCATGGAGCTGAACGGGAAGACGCTGGGCGTGCTGGGGCTGGGCCGCATCGGCAGGGAGGTGGCCACGCGGATGCAGGCTTTCGGCATGAAGGTAAGGAGCGGGGCAGGGGGCAGTGCTGGGGGTGGCACCGGCTGCAGCAGCGAGCCCCCCCCTGCCTCGTTCTGCCCCAGACCATTGGCTACGACCCCATCATCACCCCCGAGACCTCGGCCACTTTCGGCGTGGAGCAGCTGCCCCTGGAGCAGATCTGGCCCCGCTGCGACTTCATCACGGTGCACACGCCGCTGCTGCCCTCCACCACGGGTAGGGGGCTCGGGTGGTCCGCAGGGGAGGTGCGGGGTGTCCGGGGCATCCCCCCTGGTATCCCCAATCCTGATGGATCCTGACAGGACCCCAATCCTAGCCCCACAGGGCTGCTGAACGACAGCACCTTCGCCAAGTGCCGCCGGGGCGTGCAGGTGGTGAACTGCGCCCGCGGGGGCATCGTGGACGAGGGCGCGCTGCTGCGGGCGCTGCAGTCGGGGCAGTGCGGCGGGGCCGCCCTCGACGTCTTCACGCAGGTGAGATGGGTCCCCAAAATAACCCTGCCCCATCCAGCACCCCTCCAAACCAACCCCGGCACCCCCAAAATGAGCACGGGGCTGAGGCCGGGCCGGGGCTGTGCCGGCAGGAGCCCCCCAAGGATCGGGAGCTGGTGAACCACCCCAACGTCATCTGCTGCCCGCACCTGGGCGCCAGCACGCGGGAGGCGCAGAGCCGCTGCGGGAAGGAGATCGCCATGCAGATGGTGGACATGGCCACCGGGAGGGGGCTGGCCGGCGTGGTGAGTCCCCCGTGCGCCGGGGAGAGGAGCGGGGACGCTCCGTGCCTCGGTGTCCCCCTTGGCAAAATGCTTGTGGGACCCTTTGGGCTCACCTGTGGGTTTCCATCTCCCGTCCCGCTCCTCCTCCTCCTCCTCGCAGGTGAACGGGCAGGCTCTGAGCAAAGCCTTCGCACCCCAAACCAAGCCCTGGATCGCCCTGGCCAAGGCGCTGGGCTCGGTGCTGCGCGCAGCGGCCAAGCAGGCGCAGGGCAGCCTGCAGCTCTGCACACTAGGTGAGGCGAGCAGGGTGCGCCCCGCGCCCCGAGGGGACACCCCGGGGGTGGAAAAAGGAAAAAGGGTCGGGAGGTGGCTGGGAGATGGGGTGAGGGACGGGATAGGGGTGGGCACGGGCTGACCGCACCGCCCGCTGCTGGCTCTGCACCCCAGGGACCCCCCTGAAGGATGCCGGCAGCTTCCTGGCGCCCGCCGTGGTCTCGGGCATGCTGGCTGGAGGCAGGCAGAAGGAGGTGACCCTGGTGAACGCCCTGCTGCTGGCCCAGGAGGCCGGCCTGAAGGTTTGTGCACACCCGGAGCTCCACACACCAGCCTGATTGATGCCCCAGACCCCATCCATCCATCCCTCCTTGCCAAGCGGCACGACCCCACAGGGCTGCCGTGCCCCCCAGGGACACCCCATAGAGGGCTTTGGTGCTGAGCAGCCGCCTCTCTGCCCCGCAGGTCACAGCCAGCCACAGCGACGTGGCCCCCGAGCCCCACGGCAGCTCTGGCTTGCTGCAGGTGTCCCTGCAGGGCACCCCGCTGCGCGCGGTGGGGACGGTGCAGGGCAGCACCCCGCTGCTGCTGGAGCTCGGCGGGGCCACCTTCAAGCAGCCGGCCCCGTTGGCTGGCCACGTCCTCGTCTACAGAGCCAAGGCCTCCGAGCCCAGCACGCTGCCTACGCTCGCTGGTGAGCTCCTCGTGTCACCCCGAGGGAGGGAACAGCCCGAGGGGGTCCCCAAAACCAGCCCGGAGTCAATAGGGGGAAGGCGGCAAGGGGGTGATGCAAGGAGAGGTGGAAAAAGGGTGGCTTGGGCACGGGGTTGGGGTCTTGGAGCGAAGGGGTGGAGGAAGGGATAACATCAGGGAGCTTTGAGGGGGTGTGGGGTGGGCAGAGCCCTGCTGCAGACCCTGAACCCTCTCCTCCTGCCCAGGGCTGCTGGGGAAAGCGGGCGTCCAGCTCCAGTCCTACCACAGCTCGGGCGCCGTGGCTGGGGAGCAGTGGAGCGTGGCGGGGCTGTCGGCCCCGCTGCCCGAGCTCGCCGAGCTGAAGCCGCGCGTCACCGAGGCCTTCCAGCTCCACCTCTAGCCCCACACCACCAGCACGGGCTCTGCCCGCGCCCACAGCACCCCAGCGGCTGGGCGAGCGCCGTGCTAAAGAATAAAACATCCAGGAGAGAGCGTGCCGTGCCTCGTCCGTGCGGCTCTGCCCCATGGCGTCCCTCATCCTAACCCTAATCCCTTCCCCACAGCTTCTGCCCCTCGAGGCTCTGCCCCATCACCCCCAGCACTGTTTGCTCCAGGGTGCAAAGGTCTCTGCAGGCGCTGCTGCAGCACCGAGGTCCTGTCCGGCCACAGTCCCCAGGGACCAGGCAGCGCTCCAAGAAGTGCTGAGCCCACCCTGCGTGGCCTCCCCGCTCTTATCCACCAGGAATTGTCCCCCCAGGCTTTCCCATGGGTACGGTGCCGTTGTCAGGAGCTGGGAAAATGGGATTTTGGCACCCCGTTGGACCCAAGGCGCTGGGCACACATCTATCCAAGGGGTACGGGGCAGGGAGGTGCCGTGCGCCTTGGGCACGTGGGGTGCCCAGGGATAAATCCCATCCCACACCGCAGTATTTGGGGGCCCTTTATGGGGTGGGAGGGCTGGGTAGCAGTGACCATTCATGACTGGGAGCCAGAGTTGGGGTGTTCCTCCTCGCACCCACGCTTTATTCCCTGTGCCGCCTGCATTTGGGCAGAAAACGCCCCCGTCCCCACCAGCTCGGGGTCCCGAGTGGCTGCTCGCCGCTTCCCCACCCCAAAAGGAGCGGGGTCCCGGGGCTGGGGGCAGGCAGGGAGGGCAGCGTCCCCCCTCACCGTGCCGTGCCCTAGAGGGGCTTCCTGGCGTACTGCCGCCGGTACTTGTCATCCACCCGCTCCAGGTACCAGGTGCCGGGGAAGAGGTCCGTGTGGGAGCCGTGGGGAGTGTGGTTGGCTGCGGGGACAGGGCACGAGGCTCAGCGGGGACGGTCACGGGGCCCCAAAGGGGAGGTTGTCCCCCCGTGGCCCCGCTCACCCAGGTGGTGGGTCTCCTCCCGGCGCTTCATGATCTCGGCGAAGTCCTGCGGGGCCACGCGCTTGCGGGCGTCCAGGCGGGTGGGCAGGTCGGCCAGGCTGGAGAGCAGCTTGTCCAGGGGCGAGCCTGGCCATGGGTTAGGGTTAGGGTTAGGGTTAGGGTCCCTAATCCCCGGCCACAACCCCACACCACCCTCCCCTCCTGGCATCCAGCTCTGTTCCCCTTCACGGGGCTCACCCGGGGAGGCGTCCTGCGAGACGCGGAGCGAGAACATGCTGGCAGCCAGCCCCGAGCCGTAGGAGAAGGCGCCGATCCTGGAGCCGGCCAGGTCCTGAGCCGAGCACCTGTGGGGGGAATTGGGTCCCATTTGGGGACACCGCCCTCGTGCCTGGCTGTTCCCACAGCTCCTTCCCGGCCGGTGGCTGGGCACGGCCACTCTTTGGGCACAAAAAGGGGGTTTTTATCCCCGTGGCGCTGGCAGAAGGGCTTTGTGCTCTCCAGCAAAGTGGCATGGAAACGCTGGCTCGGGGACAGCGCGGGGCGGGAGGCGAGCCCGTGCCCACGTGGGGGTGGCACGCAAGGAAATTTTGGGGTCTCCAAATCGGCCTCCCCCCCGCCGCCAGCCCCCGGGACTCACTGTGCCAGGAGGGAGGCCAGGCAGCCGTACATGGACGGCGTGTACATGTTGCCAGTTGCGGGAGGAGAGGAGCAGGGAGGGCTTGGTCTTCTGGTTGAAGATCTCCTGGCTGGCCGCCTGGAAAGCCTTCTCCACCTCCTTGCTGGTGTAGGTGTCCTCCAGCTTCACGCCGCTGCCCGGAGAGAACCCGGCTTGAACCCCATGCAGGCAGCCCCAGGAGCAATCTGGGGTGTCCCCACCGCACCGGGAGGGATGGGGGACACGGAGGGACCCCCTGCACCCACCGAAAAGGCTGCAGCCCCTTGTAGAGACCGCCGGACGTGTCGGGGTTGGGGGCAGCCAGGAAATCGTTGAGCAGCAGCCGCCCCACCGACTTCTGCACCAGCTTGCAGAAGGGCGTGTGGAAGATGAGGAACTTGAAGTCGTCGAGGGTGAAGGGCTGCTGGATGCCGGCTGGAAGGCAGAGCGGGGCCGTGAGCCTCCCGCGGGCTGCGGGGCCGTGCAGGCGCCCCGGTGGCAGCGCTCACCCTGCTGCCGCTGGCTCTCCGCCTTCCTGCGGTACACGGCGTAGCAGCGGTCCAGCGCCCGCAGGTAGCACTGGATGGACAGGGGCCCGTCCACCACCGGGTACTCGGAGGCCAGGTCAGGCTTGTAGAAGTCGTAGGCGTGCTCCATGTGGGTCCCCCGCAGGCCTGGGGGGCACAGGGGAGAGCCGGGTGTCGGGGTCCCAGCACCCTTGGGTGCTGCCCGTCACGGTGACCCCAGCACCGCGATGGCCACAGCACCTCCACCGGCCTCCCCGGGTGCCTAGGGTGGCACAACCAGCCAGGACCCTGAGGTGCCCAGCGCTGGGCATCCCTTGGCACTGTCACCCCCCGTCCCCGGGGGTCTCGGCGGCAGCACCAACCTCTCTCCAGCACCAGGGGGGCGTTGGGTCCCACCAGCATGGCGATGGCGCCGGCACCTCCCGTGGGCCGCGCGTTCCCCGTGGCGTAGACGGCGATGTCCCCGCACACCACCACGGCGTAGCGGCCTGGGGGAGGACAGAGGGGCCGGTGGGGACATCAGCATGCAGCAGCCTCCATCCCGCGGCCCTGGCACCACCCCAACACCCCGATCCCTGCACCATGGTGGAGGAAGGAAGGTGATGGGCAGCCTGGAGGGGCAGCAGCTGCCTTCAGGGCATCCCTGGCTTTCAGGCCACCTCCTGCCTCCTTCCTCCACCCCACGGTGCCCTCCCCGTGCCCGGCTGCCCCCCAGCCCCACGTCCTGTCCGTGCCCACCGTCCCAGGCGCTGGACTCGACCCAGGCAGCGGCGTTGAAGAGCGAGGCCGTGCCGCCGTAGCAGGCGTTGGTGGTGTCGATGCCCTCCACGTCGCTGTTGCCCGAGTCGCGGAAGAGCTCCATGAGGACGGTCTTGACAGCCTTGGACTTGTCAATGACGGTCTCGGTGCCCACCTCCAGGCGGCCGATGGCGTCCCAGGAGAGGCGGCCACGCTCCACCAGCCGCTGCACCACCGTCAGGCACAGGGAGTTGATGTCCTCGTGGGCGGCACAGAAGCCCATCTGCTGCTGGCCCAGGCCCCGCGTGTACTTGCCGGCCTCCACGCCGTCGTAGCGCTCCAGCTCGGCCTGCTCCACGTACTGTGCGGGGAAGTACACCTCCAGCGCCAGGATGCCCACGTCCTTGGGCCACGTCCCCGTGCCAGCTGCCGCCGCCGCGGTGCTGGAGAGGCTGCGGGGCAGAGGGAGCGGCGACGGTCCCGTGGCGGTCCCCTCTCCGACACGCCAACACCTTTGGGTGTCACACCCCCCACCTTTGGGCTTCGTGCCCACCCTGCCTGCTCCATGCAGGTGCTCACCGTGCTTGCGGGGTGGCCACAGGGCACTGGGACACCCGGGGTGCCCGTGCTGGCCCCCGCCTTGCCCCCCAGCAGCGCACAGCACGGCCGACCAAGCGCAGCATCTTCGCCCCGGCCGCCGGACAAACGGAGGGACAGACGGCGGGACGGGCTTGACGCAGCACTTTTATAAACTGCCTGGTCCCACCGTGGGCGGGCAGCGTGGCCCCCCCGGCCCTTATCAGCATGCTGGGCCCTGGTGCTCAAAGGTCGCCGAGCACCAGCCAACACGACAGGGACAGCAGAGCGAGCGCTGGCTTTGGAGGGGGGGAACTTGCAGGATGTCTCTGTTTTGTGTCCCAGAGCTTTGGGACATGCTTGGCTGGAGCCGGGCAGAGCAGCGGGATGGGCTCGGTGCCTGTGAGTGACCCACTCGGCGCTGTGCCCACAGGGCAGTGGTGGCAGTGGCACCGGTGGCTCACCATCTGTGGCCACCAGGCAGCGTGCACAGTGCTGTGTGACCTCCCCTGCTGCCTGCACCAGAAGGTGGTGGGTGCCCGGTGCCACCCACGCCATCTGGGACGCGTCCACCTTTGTCATGTGTGGCTGCTCCGGGGCAAAAAGATGAGGTGTGTGGGGGCAGAGCCGTGTCCAAAACAGCAGAGCAAACAGGCACGTGATGCTTGGAGCAGCACCGCGGTGGCACAGGAGGGGACCTTTGGTCCTGGTGCTACTGTCAACATGGCCCCTTGGACCCGCGTGTGCACGGGAACCGTTTGCACCCAGGGGGGCCCTGTCCCCTGTGCCTGCACACCCAGGACAACCCTGTCCCCACCCAGGGACACTTTATGCATGCACCATGTCCCTCCTGGTCCCATGGCCCCTGGGGACTCACCCCAAACACTTCTCTCCCCACTCAACTCCACCAGCACCAGCAGCTGGGAAGTGTTGGGAGCTGCAGCAGCACCCTCCTCCTGCCCCTACCCCTGCCTCGCCCCGACGCCCGTGGGCAGAGCAGCCCAGGTCTTTGCAAAACAACACACTGAATTTGCATGCTTCTCTTTTTATGGGTTTATTTTTAAGAGATAAGGAGGGAGGTGGGATGGGAGGAGGGCAGCCAGCGCGGGGTTCGGCGCTCACTGCGAGGGAGTGAACTTGCAGATGAAGTGGTGCCGCCGCTGGCAGTCGGCGCTGGACCACACGGAAAAACCTGCAGGAGAAACGTGCAGAGGGGTCAGCGGCTGGTGGGACAGACCCCAAGCTGGGACACCAAGTGCTCATGGGGTTCCAGAGGAGAAAGGGGCACGAGCTGAGAGCGAGCATGGGGACATGGGGCTGTAGGCACTCACCGCTGGTTGGGGTCAGCAGGGCGCAGTCCCCCCCACGGGCACCATTCCCAGGAAGATTGATGGACTCATTGTACCTGCCCCCGTTGGTCCACTGCCAGCTTTTGCCCTGCACACGACAGCAGGGTCAGAGGCACGGCCCCGCCGCCCCCAGCCCCGCGGGCACCCACCGCCCCCTCACCTGCTGCAGCTGGAGGCCGAACCAGACGGGCTGCGAGCGCTGGTAGTAGGAGATGACCCTGCGCAGGGTGGCCGCCTCCTTGGGCTCCTCCACCCACACCAGGTGGGCTCCAGAGTAGCTGTTCTGGCACTGTGCCTGCGGGGGGGACACGGGGCAGTGAGGGGGCACCGGCACCCCGCAACCCTGCCGCAGGGGTGGGGGGACAGCCGGCCGTGCACCCCGGTGGGCTTACCTCTGCCTCGTCCCAGGTGCGGAGCTGGCGGAAATACCTGAAGCAGCTGGTCTTGTAGTAGGACCAGCCCACGGGGCAGTCGACCAGAAACCTGGCGCCTGCTGAAGGGAAACCTGTAGGGATGGAGATTCAGCCCTGTGCCCCCCACCCCGAGCCAGAAGCGTCTCCCCAGCTCGTGGGGTGTAGGGCCCCCCGTGGCCGCCAGGACTCACCGGTGACCTGCAGGATCGCTGTGCAGCCCAGCAGCAGGAGGGCACACCTGGCCGCGGCCAACATCCTCCTCCCTTCTGGCATCGTCCCCTGCAAGAGCTTGGTGGGGTCACCAAATCCCTCAGGGACAGGGGCTGCTGCCTTCACATGGGATCGCCAACCCACCCTGCTACAGCCTGAGCCCGGCCCCTCGCAGGAGATGGCACCCAGGGCTGTGCCCCCATCCCCTCCCCGGCAAAGGTCACTGCTGCAGCCCCCCAGTAGGGTTCAGGGTCCCCAAGGGGCATCGCCAGGGGGGTCCCAGCCCTATCGGTGCTGGCGTTGGTGGGGACACCCAGGGGAGCCGCGCTGCTCTGTGGGGACCACAGGGAGAGTGCTGGCCACCATCATGGACCAGAGACCCCATGCCTTGTGCTGGCCCAGGGCAGCAGCAGTGACAAGGACAGAGCAGGGGCCGGTGGGGCTGCAGGGACTCTGTGCACGATTTTGTTTTCTCCCCCCAGCTTGCATCCCCGCCAGACCCATGCTATGGAGGCAAATCACATGCCACCGCAGCGCAGCTCCCCTTTATCTGCACTAATCCCCTAATTTGCCGACCCAGCTCATCTTCCCCTCAAAGAAGCAGCGACAAAAGTCGACGTGGGGCTGAAAACTGCACGGCTGCAGCCTGCCCCGTCCAGCGAGGGCAGCGCCCGCCTCCCCCAGCGCTCCCACCACCCTCGGGCCCCCCGGCGCTGCACTGGGGAGAGCGGGCAGCAGCGGGGACAGGCTGGGGGTCCCTGTCCTCACCTGCCAAACGGAGATCAGAAGGAATAACGGCCTCTTGTTGAGTCCTCCGGGACGAGAGAGGAGCTGCCCTTTATAGCCCCGCGCTCGTCAGGCTCACTATTTGCCGAGCTGAGGTGATGGCCACCATAAAAACCTTACAGCTTTGCGCCCTCCACCTCCGCTGGAAGCCCGCCAAGCTGTCGGCTGTTTGCATTCGGCGACAGGAAGAACCTCTCCTAGTTGGTCAATAAACCCCCTGCAATTAGCACGAATTACCCACGCAAACGGAGATGCCTCTCCACACCTTCCAGCCTCACACCTGCCGGGGGGGCCCACCCGGAGCACCACAGGATGGGGACAAGGACGAGACCCCCCTGGGGGAGGCCGTCCTGGGGTGGGCCGAGCATCCCCGTGCCCAGGCCCCGGTTACGACCCATGGGGTCGGGGTCGGGGCCCGCGGGGCTCATGCCCTGCCCGGCTCCGCAGTGCGTCAGCCACCGCCTTTGTTTGAACTGCCTGGCGGCATTGCCAGCAGGATGCAGGGCGCGGGGACAGCCCGCGGCCGGGGGCCATCAGATAGCGGTGGGGACAGCCGGCCCCCACGCCCAGCACTGACGCAGGGCCCCGCGGCCCTCTGAGGAGATGAAGAATAGGAGGAGGAGGAGGAGGAGGAGGAGGAGGAGGAGGCAGCTCCTCCAGCCCCACCAGGCCTCAAGATGGCCGCTGCTCCCCGCCATGAGGCAGCGGCCGCGTGCTCGCCCCTCAGGGCTCTCTCATGGCTCCTGCTTCCCCAAATACACAGCTCCTCCAAGCCCAGCGTGCGCTGGCAGGCCCGGCCCTCGCCCCGTGAGGGAGGGTGGAGGATCAGACCCATCTCCCTCGCCCACGCAGCTGCGATGCAGCCGCCGCATGCTGGGAGCAAAGGGAGGATCCAAAGGAGGTGGCTGCCTGCTATCGCTTCTCCGAGGAGAAAGGGATGACCTTGGAGATGGGGCCCAGCCACTCTGGCTAATGGGGACGCTCTTCAAACACAGCAACCCCTCCCCTGAAGACGAGGCTTCACCCTCGCTTTATGAAAAAGCATGGAAATATCCCCCCCGGGAGCCTGAGGCTACTCCATTACTCCTCAGCTAAATAAAAGATGCCCCAGTTCCCCGCCTGGCTGGTTCAATGAGGCTTGTTTGGATGCACCAGGACAGGTTCTCACAGGCCGCTCATCATCATGGGCAGACGCACGCAGCCAGCCCCAGGAGATGCAGGTCACAGCCTGAGCAGCCCCAAACACATTGCAGCCAGTGCCCGAGAGGCACTGCGCTGCTCGGTGGAGCTGCCTCAACTTTGGCACGGATGGGGAACCCTGTGGGAGGTGGATGAAAGCCTCCTGAAGACTCCTACTCGTCAAGCTGGCTCTGCTGGAAGATGAAGGAGCTACGCTGTTTGAGTATTAAACTCCGAAATTGTCCCCCCAGTGGCTTTATTATCCCTCCAAGGCATTGTAATTCTGCTAGCAGCTCCACCAGTGTCCACAGCGAGAGCTGTAAACCTGCCAGGTGAGCATTTGCTCAGCCTGAGGCTTCAGGGGCAGCTCCCTGCTCAAAACCCAGGAACGAAGCCATTGTCAATTTGTTCTCTAATTGTTCCAGTCTGAAACTTTCCAGGTCTGAGAACACAGCGTGGAAGAGCCACGCTTCCCGGCTACCAAGGCTGGAGAATCGTCACAAATCCCCAGCCCTGCTCCAGCTCCCAGGGAAGCGAGAGCTTTTATTCAAAGCATCTCACAAAAAGATCATCTCCCAGTTCCTCCCCATCCATTCCAGCTGGACCCCCGCCCCCCCAGATCCTCCTGCTAAGCTTGAGCGTGGCACAGCTCCTTGGATGGAGCTAATGATGTCTGTGTGCTTCTGAGGCATGACAAAAAGCACTCCTGAACTCCAAAAGCTCTCTCCTGACCTGGACTGCAGAGGTCCCTGATGAGTCCTCCCCTTCTCAGGGGCCCAAACAGCTGCCACACGCTGGAGATCCATTTATAACCCCATCTTCACAATGCAGTGGCTGTGCCATGATAGCTGGGAAGGCAAATGAGAAGAGCAGCACACAGACACCGGGCACATACTCTTTATTCTGGGAATAAAAATTGCTTATACATTTTGCAGCAACTATTTTCATAAAAGACTTTTATAAAAAATGTAAAAATAAGCAAGTATTTTCCATTATTAATATAGGAAAATGCTGCTGTGTGAATGGTTATTCTACAACTTATGAGATAAAATACCACCTTAAGGAGATATTATCTTTACAAGTAGTTAAAAAAAGAAAGGCAGAGGGCCATCATATTAACACACCAGGCACGAAACTGGCTTCGTTCCACAGAAAGCACTCATCTTGTAAATGGTAGCCACATATATAAAAAGGCACTTGGTTATTTGGGGCTAACGAGGAAAAGCCCTTTGTTTCTTTAGCATTGATGTAGCAACACTTCATTATTTGCAGTGAAACATGTACCTCGACAGACCTCCAGGAGCTCGCGGGCTCCTGCCTGGAAATCTGAGTCAGTTGCAGCTAAACTTCACAGTACACACTGCGGCGAGTGTGACGGGGAATGCTGTGTGCGTCAGAAAAAGCAGTAACTTCAGGACAAAAACTTCAGCCCGAAAAACACGGCCCCTGGAACCAGCTCCTCCTGAGGCCCTGCCTTCATGTACCATTGAGTTGAATCAAAAGAATAAGAAAAAAAAAAAAAAGCTTTACTCTCGATTAGAATGGAAAGAAACATCGGAGAAAAATACTGTACACGGTAGGATGCTAAATAACCGCTGCTCAGAGGGGAGCGGCCGCCTCTGTCCTTTGGCGACAGCCGACAGCTCCAGATCTCTTTGGAACGCGTCTGCAGGGTTCCCCCGAAGAGGTAGAAGCGAGCCACCCCTAGAAACCTACACTTCTACTTCTGAGTGGTGTAGAGCCCTTCAGGGAAGTGTTACTCTTGTGGAAATAGGGAGAAACAGCGGCTGTCCAGCCAGGGTCAGGGACAGCTGCTCTCCCGAACTGCAAAGCCGCCAGGGGAGCTCGATGCCGCTGCCGTGCTGTGTAGGCATCGTACCTCAGTCAGGAAATTGTAGTACAGGCTGGAGCTGAGAGCAGAGCACAGCCCCAAACCTGTGGACTGAACTGCACTAGATGGTTTCTGAGCTATTTGGTCAGCCGCTCGGCCCAGCTCCTGGTTTCAGCTGCGCTGCTGGAAGCCTGCTCAGGACTCAGTGCTGCAGCTTCCTTTTGGGAAGGGGAGGACGAGGCAGCACTGCCCCAGGGCTGGAGCGAGAGGGACGCTTTGGAAGGGCTGGAGACCGTTCCCGACACAGAAGGACACACACTGCAAACATATAATGACATCCTTGACGCTTCTCGATAACACCACAGCGAGGCAGCATACGATACCTGTAGGACAGGACACACGGCAGCCCTCGGATGGAGGGGAGGGGAGCGCCGTGCAAGAATGCTGGGAGCTTGCACTATTAGGTTTTGAAACACTCATGTTAATCCCCAAGAGTTTATCAGCAGGCCTGTATGACATCCAGGGCATCTCTTCCGATAGGGGAGCGTGTGAAGGCTGTCACAGACACGCCTGCCGTGACGGGAGCACGGGGAGGGTAGTGTGTCAGGAGGGTCAGGCGTGTCTCGAGGAAGACATACAGCTCGGGAGAGATGTGCCTACAGGCCACCGCGGGGGAAGACAGGTCAGACCAGCATTTTCAGGAGGAAAAATTTTTAAAAAATAAAATAAAAAGGCTTAAAAGAAGACTATATGTATATATAATCTCAGAATACCTTGAGGGCAGGCAGTGAGAATGGTACGGGGTTATTAGTAGGTTTGTATAAGAAAAAGGCTCTCAAAGAGGAGAGGGTGAAGCTGCGTGACAGAAACTGGTGACTCTAGTCACTTGACCTGCAGGTGTTTTGGGAAGTCTGGCTTGCTTGCTGAGCAAGGAGAGCCGTGGGAAGGAGGGGTCTAGGAATGTGGGTGCAGCTCTGAGCTGAGTCAAAACAAGGCAACTTGAACTCGAGGAGAACTAGTAGAAGGTGCTTCGGAGAGAGCGGTTATGTAGGTAACAAAAGGAGTAACAAAATAAGGATACAAAGCTGGTTTTGGCTAAATTTCTGGAGAAACGACCATGAGATGCATTAAGCTGAAGAGCTGTCTCTCCAGATAAGTGGTGGAACGCGTTTAAAAGCGGACTGGAGAATCCAGTGCAGACAGCAATCACACCCGAGGTGGATGGGAGTTGGTTAGAAGCGACCCAGCTGGTCTTCTCCACCACCAGCTTCTACAGTTCTCTGTTTAGGAAAGCATAAAAGCTTACAGCAACCACAGTCCCTCCAACGAAAGAACATCCTGGGCTCATTAAGACTCTTGGATACTACAATGGTTCTTCATTTCCATCCTGGAAGACCTTCATGAGTTCTGGAGTCCGCTTTAGTCAGGCTTCACCTCGGGCAGCCTTCAGGCGTACACCTGCATGTTGTTCCGCTGCTGCTCCGACATGTGGGCGGCCGCGGGCCCGCGCTGGTTGTTACCGGGACTGGTTGCCACATCAGACCAGTCAGAGGCCGAGTGTGGGGAGGAACTTGACCACTGGTCTGGAGATTCGGGCGACGGAGTCAGGTATGGGTGCTCCCCCTGTAAGTGCCGGTTGTGGCTAGGAGTCCGTTCTGTGGCCGAGGAGTAGCAGCTGTGCTGTGACGGAGGCGTGGGGTACTTCCCCATCGAGCTCTGGAACTGGTGGTAGGCTGGGAGGATTGTCTGAGCCACCTGCCCGTCCTGCTGAGGGATGGCAGCCATGGAGAAGGAGGCGCTGGGCAGCTGGGCCAAATCTGGGATCTGGTACATGGAGCTGAGAGGCCCAGCCATGTTCTGAGCGCAGTTTGACTGGGCCTGCTGCGGCAGTGCTTGCTGGTTTATGCCACCCTTGGGAACCAGCTGGAAAGTCATGATAGGGGGCAGAGACTCCCTGGACACTCCCATGTGCTTCGTATCTGCTTGGACCAAGCCGCTCTGCTGCGAGACGCTGGGGTGCGAATGCATCACCTGCGGCACCATGCCGAACATCTCGTTGTACTGAGACTCGTTCATCTCCATGCGGTTCATCCACTCGCTGGAAACGTTGGCCGGCCGCA